TAGGGATATCCGAAGCTTCCGAGGCCGCGGGCAGCGCCAAATCGGTCCCTAGGAAAAAAATTTTGAGCAATCAGAATTTCGCCCCGATAGTTCGTTAGTATTGTATCTTAGCTCTTTGTACGCAAAGTTTCAATGCAAATAAGAGTCGGAGTCCGGAGTATTAGTGGGTTCAAGGTTGTGGGAAAAACCTTGTCGCGACTTCATTAATTCCACTATACCTAGGGTCCGGATCATGTCCGGCTCTGGGTGACGAGTTTGGCACCCCCGCTACCTATAGGTTCGGATCGCGGATCACCTAGATCCGGATCCGAGCTCACCCTTATCATGAGGTGCATCCGTTTTGCAATATGAGTGTCTGGAGAGGGAATTCCGAGGTCTCGGCTATCAATGACACAAGGCCCGCTGAGAAAATTTTGTAGGGGAAACGTGGCTCTGGATGTCGTAAAAGACATTTTCTCGGGAATACAAAGCCGGTAAGGAGAAAAATAATGGAGACTGTGAGAGTCGAACTCACGACTTCATGCAATCGGCTTACATAAGCAAATGCGAAGCAAGCACTCTACCAACTGAGTTAAACCCCCGTCACCGGAACCCGGTTAACAAAGCGTTCTCGTCTGTTCGAACTTTGCATCCGGTGTCCGATCTGAATTTCCCCAGCTTCCGTTCCCGACGAGATGGACGACAACCTCGAGCCAACGAGCAGCCTGACTGCCGACCCACGAAATCATGCAGTCGGCGACGTCTCCAACACAAACTACACTGCCGATGAAGAAGACGAAGAAGTGCCCGATTGGACAAAATTCGCCAGCATTGCAGGAATAACTCCTTCATCGCCAGCAGCGTCGAGCCTCGATATCAGTTCTGCAGCCTATACTGCGGGAGCGAGATCAAAGACTAAGAACAGCACATCTACTGTCATCCCAAAACGCGGCGAAAAGGACTTCGAGCCCAAGACGAAGCCGTCGAATCCATTGGACGACGCCGAGGATTCTCGAAGTCGATCTGGTCCGTCTACTGGCAGCGGATTACAAAATCATGCACTGGAAAGAGCCAGAAGGGCGATGTTCAGTGCGCTGAATGGGACGAGAGGTACATCAAGGTATGACATTCATGACCATACCGTTTCGCCTTAGGCTCACCCCTTTCATCAGTAAGAACATCAGTTATGGCATCTGGCATCCACACCTCAACAGAGTGGAAGTTATCCAAGCCAAAGGCATACTATGGAATGCAATGGGCCACTCAGCTCCGATTCGCACTTGTCTCTGTTCCGAGGAATATTCGTTGGACGACTTGAAAGCTTCTCGGAGTCAGGCCGTAGAGGAGACCAGAGGCAAGAAGAGGACAGAGCTGCTTCCTGAAGAAGCATTGTATCTGATGGAGCGAGGGTCGATGATTTGTTTCAAACACTCTCCTTCTCCAAGCCTTCATCTTGCTCCATCGACTTCCACTCCGACGTTGATGCCATTTGCCATCTCGTCATTACCGTCAGCCGATGCACCTCCTTTGATCAATTCGGCATCATCATCTTTTTCTTTTGATCCTCTGGGGAACGAACCGCCTGGTGCTCCGATGACGGTTCAACACGCATGGGGCGAGATGATAGGGAGCGAATCTCTAACACTCGAGAAATATCAGGTATGCTCGTGATTCTTAGCGATATCACAGCCTGTAATCTCTTAACTGATCCATGTCGAATTGACAGGTGTATTCGTATCTGAGACGGCTCGGCTACGTGGTCACAAGACATCGCAAGCCTTCCAGCTCCCCTTGGTACCCTATTCCTGAGATCGGCGATGCACAATCGACCGCGAAAGCAGCACCAGCCTCTTCTCGTGGTCTCCGAGCTTCAGTAGCGACGTTGGTCAGCTCTCCTTTCTGGTGGCTGTGGGGATTGTTTGAAAGTATGTGGTACGACCCTTGGCGGCCTCTGCGAGGGAAATGGAGATGGATACACACCTATCGTGCGTCTTTTGAGCATACTATTATCTCCATAAGCTGACCGAGCTTATCTAGCTTCTCTTCTCTCATCCTTGCGCGCACTACCATCCGCCTCCTCACGTCCACTCACTTCATCACCCATTCCTCCACCCGCATCCACAATCCCTACCAGTGTCTCTAAAAGGATGGCAGGCTCGAATCAAGCTTCACATCCACCAGCGCCCACAGTGTCACCCTATGAGATCTTCTACAGCCTCTACAAGCCGTCAACGTCCTTCCGCAAATCCGCCCCACCCCCTCCTGATTTCTACCTAGTCGTCGTAGAGTGAGTCCTACTCTCTTTCCTCCCTTCCTTTCAATCATCTAATTTGATCACGCATCTTTCAGCGCCCGAACTACATCCATACCATCCCTTTTCGATCTCGAAAGATTATGGTCGCAAATACCAGAGACGAGACTTCAAGCATCTATATCGAGGAAAATGATGGCTGCTAAACGAGAAGACGCGAGAAAGGAGAAGATTGCACTGAGGCAACGACAATCGGCGGCAATGAAGAAAGGCGCTACGAAAGTGGACGATGAGAAAGCCGAATTCGACGGGGAAGATAGGGACAATGAAGGAGGACGGAGCGGACTACTGGCATGGTTCCGGTCGGTCTTCGTCCGAGGACGAAATGGCGAAGAAGAGACGAAAGACAAGATGAAAGACGGAAAGGATCTTCTGCAGCCCCGTCCTCCACATCCTTTCGCGGTGCTCAAAGCAGGTCGAAAGCTCGTCGTCATCGCCGTCGTAGACAGTGGAAACATTGGTTTCTACAGGTTCTCCGAAGGGGTGTTCGATGAGATGCCGATGATGTAGGCCTGACCTCATTTGTACGATAACCACCTGCACGTAGTATCTTTATGACAATTAATGATATTGTTCATTCAATCGAGGATAAGTGAAGGTGGAGAGTCCATTCATTGTCAAAGTATACAGAATGGGATCTAATTGCACAGAACTGGTATTACAGCAGACGAGAGCGCGCGCGAATCGTAATGAGAAATGAGAAGTGAAAAGAGAAAATGAGTCAAGACCGAGAGTTCAAATGGATACAGTACTTCCTCCCACCATTACACAACCACCACCCCACGACGACGGAGAGGATTCTATGCTGAGCACATCAAGCAAGCCTCCTTGTTCTCTATACTGCACATCAGCTTCTCATTCTCCAACTCCCTCTCCTTCTGTCTTCTCTTTGCCTCTTCGAACTCGAGCTTGTCCTGCTCTTCCTGAGACAGCTCCTTTCCATCTGCGACAGCGGTGACAGCAGGTGCCGGTATCGGAATAGGGTCAGCGAGCTCAGAAGGAGGCGTCGAAGGTGCTGCGGAAGTCTCGCGTGATAGCGATAATGAACCACCGGATTCGGAAGTGGGAGTAGGTAACGAGGAGAGCGACGCGAGCGAGGTCGAAGTCGCGATACTGAGGTTAGACGGCAGTGATGAAGGAGGTGTAGGAGGGATAGTAGGCTCGACCGACTCCTCTTTGACCTTGACAGGTGTGGCAGGTTCAACTGTCACACTAGAGACGGAGCGAGCGAAGGGAGAACGAGGAATGGCAGCTTCGATGGGCTCGGCTTTGATAGCCTTCACCGGCGTAGTAGGAGCAACTTTGACGGATGCGATAGTAGGAGTATCCTCTTTCGCCTTCGCAGCGGTCTTGGCATCCTGCTTCGCTTCCTTCTCCTTCTGCGCGAGAGCTGCTTTCTTCGCCTTCTCCTTAGCGAGAACACTCTGATCCACAGTAAACTGAATAGCAGCCGCAGCCGGTCTTGTCCTCAAGTAATACATGCCGGTCTTCAAGCCCTTCTTCCAACCGTAGAAGTGCATACTCGTCAACTGTCCCTTCGTGGGAGCAGCGAGATGGACGTTGAGCGATTGACTTTGACAGATGTAGGCACCACGATCAGCAGCCATCTCGAGGATCTTCTTCTGAGAGATCTCCCAGACGGTCTTGTAGATCGCCTTCGTCTTCGCAGGGATCTCTTCAATGGCTTGGATAGAGCCGCCGTTGGCGATGATGCGTTGCTTCATCTCGTCGTCCCAAAGCTTGAGATCAACGAGTTCGCGGAGAAGCCAGGGGCAGACGACTTGGAATTCGCCAGCGAGGACACGACGGGTGTAGATGTTCCTATAGATATGTTCAGACGACTTCCCCGGAACAAAGAAGAAGGAACATACGAAGTATAAGGTTCGAAGCACTCATTGAACCCAAGAATCTGACTCGTACTCGCCGTAGGCATAGGAGCGACAAGCAACGAATTCCTCAATCCACCCTCTTCAACGATCTTCCTCTTCAACTCGCTCCACTCCCAAAGATCCGTAGGCTTCTGTCCCCAAAGATCAAACTGCAACAATCCCTTCGACGCAGGCGACCCAGGGAAGGTCTCGTAATGACCCTCCTTGACGGCGAGCTCGTGCGAAGCTTCGAGAGCGGCATGATAGATGGTTTCGAAGATCTGGATGTTGAGTTCCTTTGCTTCCTGCGACTCGAACGGCATGCGGAGGATCATGAAGGTGTCAGCGAGACCGTTGACACCAAGGCCGATAGGTCGATGACGCATGTTCGAACGACGAGCTTCGGGAACAGGGTAGTAGTTGATATCGATGATCTTGTTCAAGTTGTTCGCAACGACTTTGGCAACATCGTGCAACTTTTGGAAGTCGTACGATTTCTTGTCGGCGGAGACGAATGAAGGAAGAGCGAGGGATGCGAGATTGCAGACGGCGACTTCGTCGGGAGCGGAGTACTCGATGATTTCGGTACAGAGATTGGAAGACTTGATCGTCCCGAGATTCTGCTGATTCGACTTGGCGTTGGCAGCGTCCTTGTAAAGCATAAATGGTCCTCCAGTCTCGATCTGCGCTTCGAGGATCGCAGCCCAGAGCTTCTGAGCCTTGATGGTCTCGCGTCCGCGCTTCTCGGACTCGTACTTCATATACAGTGCTTCGAACTCAGCACTGTGAACATCGGCCATGCCGGGAGCTTCGTTGGGACAGAAGAGAGTCCAGTCGCCGTTCTCTTCGACACGCTTCATGCTATAGACATCGTCAACATCGTCACAATCGCGCACGGGTAGGGAACACGTACAATAGGTCAGGAATCCAGAGAGCATAAAACAGATCTCTAGCTCTCGCTTCTTCCTTGCCGTGATTCTTGCGCAGATCCAAGAAGCTAAAGATGTCGGCGTGCCAAGGCTCGATGTAGATGGCGAAAGCACCAGGACGCTTGTTGCCGCCCTGATCGACGTAACGCGCTGTTGCGTCGTAAGCGCGGAGCATGGGAACGATGCCGTTCGAGTATCCGTTGGTACCAGCAATGTATGAACTGCAAAGACACACGTCAGCTGAGTATACGTAAAAGTTCGCGGAAATGACGTACCCAGTAGCGCGGATGTTATGGATGTTCAAGCCAATGCCACCGGCAGTCTTTGAGATCATCGCACAAGTCTTGAGCGTATCGTAGATACCCTCGATCGAGTCATCCTTCATCGCCACCAAAAAGCAGCTGCTTAGTTGGGGATTGGGGAGACCGGCGTTGAATAGGGTGGGAGAGGCGTGTGTGAAGTATCGTTCAGACATGAGATGGTACGTCTCGATA